GTCTTCGGACTCTGATAGGCGGATTGTCGTAACTCCCTTGGAACAAGTAACTGCGTTAGTAGACATACGGATATATGTCGTAGTTCTTCCGGGGCAGTAACTACTGTTCCAGTAACAGTGTTAATGGACAATCCGAAGAAGTGTAAGTCATTCCCGAAATAGCGCTAAATAGAATTTCACTAAAAACTTAACTGTGTATGAAATGTCTCAAGGGTTTAATATATTGAGAGAGTATTACTAAAAGAGAGACACTTCAAAAAAGAGTAATATCACGAAAATACTACTAACAAAACTATCGAGAGTAAATATCAAGACAGTTAAATTTCACGAGTGATAAGGATTAAGAGAGTTAAGTATCGAGAGTAAATGAGTATTGAAAATTGCGCCCCTTAAATACATTTGCTGACCATGAATTTTACTTGAATCCCTTCCCTTATTTTCTGTCCAATCCGAGACTCTTCCCTTATAGTGCGAGGGCAGCGCCTCTTTTGGCTTCGGAGTTAATTAAGGGCCTAGTCGTCTCTGGGTCTTCATGATGAGCAGATCTCTCATTGCTGCTGCCGCATGCGACAAAGGGGGGTTCGCCGACACATCTGGTGACAGCATTGCAACTTGTTGACAGCGGGAAAGGGAAGGAAGGTTCGCTTGCAGTAATGCTTAATGTAGTTGTCGAGCGGAACGAAAATGCAGATGTCAAAACTATAGGTTTTCCCGTGTTTATAGTATTGTTTTTCCAGATGTTTTATGACACTAATGCGTGAGAAATTTTGAGCAAGCGAAGTTTGAAATCCAAATACAAATTTTACGATGTTACTTGCCAGATGTTTTATTGCACTGACAAAAAAAGGAAAAATGTTCTCGCATTCTCAAATAGTATGCAAGGCAATATTTATTTTATGCTTTCTACCTGTATATTTGTTTATGTAAATAAATAAACTGTTATCTAAGTATTTATAAAGTAACAATTATAGCCATATGAATAATGGGGAAACTGAATAATCAACTAATATTCGGATGCAGATTAAGCATCCATGCATAACTTCTTTGTGATGGACATTTAATTGATTTTTAATTACATAACATCATTTTATAATTATCTGTAAATTATTTACTTTATGGCTCAAATTTTAATGATAAGAAATTTATGGCTAAAAATGCATAAATTCTCAAAAACTACTAACTGATTTCAAAAGAGAAACTATTGAACTTACCTTAGAAAAAAACACCTCCAATAAATGCAATCGACTTTAATATTGTTACTTATGGTTTTTAAAATGTTTATAAGGGAAAGTAGAGATCTGGTAGTTAATCATTGTAAACTTTTCATTGGTAATTAACTAGCCTTTTTTCATTGTGATTTAATGTAATGGTATCAAGGTTTAATTTGAGAGTATTCAAAAATAATGTAGCTTCACTTCAACATCTGCATTGACATTTACAAGAACGATAATAACAAAAGCGAAATGATTTTATTTAAATGTATTTATTTTAATTTGATGTATGCGGTTAACATTTAAATAGATTAATAAATGAATTAATAACTTTTATTTTAATCGTAGATGTTTACAATGTATTATATATGAATATTATATGGATTTCTTATTACATTTTCGAATAATAGTAAATTAAAATTATTTTTCTTTAACTACTTCATTAATTCTTTATATAAGACAAAAAATTTCGAAACAAACATAGTAATTGATGTTAATCAATTCTATCTCTCAATATTGACTATTAAATAAGAATTTTTAATTTATTTCTATTTTCCTAATGAACCTATTTTCATGTCCCTACATAACCTATCTCCACCTTTTACTCAATTTAAGTCATGCTATATATAAAGTAATGTATAATATGCAACGAGCGCTCCATCATTTTTATAGATAGATATATTAATATCGTAAAAAGTATTACAAGATTTTAAAAGCACGAATAAGGAAAATTTAATAAAAGACGTAATAAAAATATATACTTTATAAACTTTTTTTATTTTCTTATTTATTTCTAGTATTTCTTATTTGGTTCTTTTAAAATGTTGTTACCATTAATCTACAATACTCTATAAAAAAATTATAATTAAATTTCTTTAACGTGAACGATAATACTGTATATGTTCATTACAATATATTTGAAAAATTATATTGAAAAAGTTTATTTAAAATTTTTTAAAAATCACTATAGAATATAAAAAATGAATAAGCT